GAACAGTAATAAACATTTTAAAACAGAAGCCATCCCTTCTGAAAGTCGTTTGCCCTCTACTTCCTCCTCCTTACAAAGGGTCTTAGTTCCTGGGAACATCAGCAGTGGCCCAGGCAACAGCAGCTCCAACCCAGAGCTCTTTTTTCACCAAGAACCACAAAGAGTCTGCCTTCTCGGTCATGGCCAAGGCAGCGAGCAGGCACAGTTTGCCAGAGATACCCCAGAGAATGGTGGCAGTGCCATCTGGGCACGCTCCATGCAAGCAAAGGAAACCAAAAACATCGACAGCAAGCCAGGCAACCAGTCACAGCCCTTCCAGAGCCATTTGCTCCTGTCACCATCACCAGGGGGCTGCCTGAAGGGCACTTGGGGGGAAATACATAAAAATATGCAAAACAAATACTGCACGTGGTAGAATGCAGTATGTATATATTTCTACTTATGCTTCGAATAGTGAAGATAGTAAATGTAGGAAATGGGACATCGTAGTGAAAAGGAATCCCAGGACTGCTGGCATTGCCCCCCGGCATTCCTTTGCAGAGTTCTCATTTCTTTCAAAGTTAGGACCCAGCTGTGTTTCCCTGGGAGGACACAGTCCATTCATGTTTTATGTAAGTGAAGAAATTAATTGAATTCGTCCCAAGAACATTTGTCACCACAGTCAGGACAAGAAATCTGCTTTGCCCACCTCGGTGGAACTGTCTGCGCAGGAGGTGTTTGGAAGCCCAGAGTTTGGGACGGATAAGATGCACTCGATTTTTTTTTTCTACTCACCCTTTAGCCAATGTTGCTATGCCAACGTCGGTTAACTTCATTCCTACACCTACAGGAAGGGCGAGCAAAGACAGAATTGGTATTACCCGGGCTGCTCTGAAAGGACAGGGAGGTAGTGACAGCCCTTTCCTGCATAAACACACCGCCCCGGTCCCATCAGCAGGGGCCTCTCAGACATGCATCCATCTGTGTGGGACCGTGACCGGAAGGCAGGCCTCTGACACAGCAGTTTCGGGGAGCCTGGCTCTCTAGGGCGGTGGCTAGGGGCACCTGTTCCAGCTCAGTGGACCTCTGCTTCAATCTCACCACCGCAGCCTAGTGACGAGCCTCTGATGGCAGCGCTACCCCTCCAGTCTGGCCCGACCAGTCTGGCCCGAGCCTGGTCCTGTGTGAGCCAGGCTGGGATGGTGTCTCCTGCTCACGGAGGGGCCTGACAGCACAGATGCCGGCCTGGGCTGTGGACAAAGGAACCTGCATCCTGCCAAAGCCAACCCTGAGGTTCGAGCTGATGGCAAACTTGTCAGCCCTGCCTTTCTGCAGGGCAGAGGTGAGCTGACTTCGACAGGGCACTTGGGGTGAGTCAGTGAGTGTTTTAAAAGCCCCTTTCACAGTTGGAAATGAATCCATCTTGTTCTTTGAAAGCTGCTAACAACTAGAACGTATGTATAAATACTTCACATAGCTTTTATTACAGGGTCTATTCTTAAAAAAAAAAGACACCAAACTGCAAAAGCCCTTTTCAGACGCCTATTTTTGTGGAACGTTGTAGTGAAAAATCACAGCTCTGAGTTGCACAGAGTCCAATTTTAAAAGCCATGTGGCCCTGGCCAGGTAGCTCAGTTGATTGCAGCATTGTCCTGATAGGCCAAGGTTGCAGGTTCGATCCCCAGTCAGGGCACATACAAGAAACAACCAGTGAGAGCATAAAGAAGTGGAATGACAAATTAACGTTTCTCTCTCTCTCTCTCTCTCTCTCTCTCTCTCTCTCTCTCCCTCTCCCTCTCCCTCTCCCTCTCCCTCTCTCTCTAAAATTCAATACATAAAAATTTTTTAAAGTCATTTGGCAGAAGGTCCTTGAACTTAAGAATTGCCTTTTCTTCTCACAGTTACTGTCACTTACAGTTTAGAAAACTATAATATGATTTTGGAAATATCTCTCTCTCTCTCTCTCTCTCTCTCTCTCTCTCTCTCTCTCTCTCTCTCATTTAAATATTTTGCCAGCAATTCGATCAAGGATTAGAAGGTCCTCTGCAGGTAATTTTAATTTCTAGCGTGCAGCCTCTTAAACTGTGTGGGGGTAATAGTCATCTGCAGTTTTG